AAAATATAGCCTGTTTTCATGTTGACGTTTTACGAATAAAATTATTATACCGGAAAATGTGCAACGCCTCAAACCATACCAAACGATTGACAACCGCTTCGAACAGAACAAGTGAAACCTAACTTCAGAGGAATCCAAAACCCATATATTTCCCGAGGCTTCACAACAGAAAGACAAGCTAACAAAAAAATTAGTTGGCTCTGTACGTAACGGTCAGAATTAAAAGAAGACTCAAATGAATCCGAACTCGCAGAGACGTGATTAAGCCGGAGTCACATTTTCAGATGTCACGTGATGTGTGAAACATGCCGTGGAATACTGGCGAGTTAGTGATAAAGAGAGAGAATAGATTCATGGGTTTGGAGCACTTCCACACACACTACCATCCCCGTCAGTATGAACCATCAAAGGTGCACGGAGATCAAATTCAGCAGACCACCAGCACCGGTTATAGTACTAGATCTAGGAATCAGCTACTCTGTCGAAATGAGTTATGATAATGTATGTGCAGATAAGGTGGACTACAGTCGGCTTTGTGCGGTCCGTTTATGTTTGTTTTTCTGATAACTTCAATATAGATCATCAACAGTACCTGGTGTCTGTGGAAAATCGAATGGGCTAATCCAAACACTGACTATCTGAACTTCAATGTATACATTTTTCTATCCATAAACTTAGCATTTCCATAATCCTTATTGTTCGCACGGTGTATTGTTTGTTCCCAAGTTATACTTAACGGTGAGTGATATTCCCCAGCAATAATAACCAATGTGCGATTCCTGGCTATCTAACCAAATGTTGAGCATTTTCTTATACGAGATTACTTTCCCTAGGTTGCGTTCTATTGATTGCGTTGAGTACATGTTCACTGAGTTCCACGACAGTCACCCAGAGCGGGCCAGAGTCGAATTTCTTTAATATAGCAAGAGAAACACGAATGGAAAGGGTGGTAAACCATCTCATTGGGCGCAAAAAAACGTTCTGTAAGAATGCAGTACACTGAGCCACTTTAGGGTCATCATGATTTGATATCGAAATTTACCCAAACTTTCGTCTTGCTCTGCTTTTATCAATAGCTCAAACAGCTGCCTTCTCAACTCGACGATAGCGCGGTAAATCGATCGAGCTCATTTTGGCCAGTCAGTCAAAGGAGCCATACAGATTAAGGACCTCAGGTTACGAGGTCATTTGATAAGGCTAAAAGCATGACTCACCACGAAAATTTACACCTAATTTGCGGAAATTAATCTTTCCTCAACCTGAAAAATTACAGTCACGCAGATTATTCTCTCTTCTCTTCCCGGCAATCACGCTCATAATCAAAATAAGACAAATTTTATCAATCTAACACTGCTGAATTGTGAGCAGCGGTCAGAGGATCAAATAGTAGGTCATAAATTCGAACAAAATCCCAGTTGGTGTTATTCAGAAAACGTTGATGTTTATTAGAGTCAGCTAAGATTCTACTTATAGCACAGATAATAGTGGAAAAAATACGTATGGGCTATTGCATCATCTGTGACCGATCTTTTATGACTGCTAACTCGGACAACTTTTTTCTCAACTTTGGGACATTTAAATACTAACTCGTTTTAGGAACCCTCTGTGCGAATGCGGATGGAGAGGGGGGGGTTGCTTCATTTTTCAAAGAAGTGACACTTCAGAAGTTTACTTAAGTTTGTACTTTTTTACAAGCACAATTGAGAATCTGAAGGTCCACAAAACCCGTTTCCCCTTGACCAGGTCTATTCCAGCTTTCTGTTCTCATGCATTTCTAATCAATTTTTCCATCGCGTTTACCATTCCATTTAAGTAAGCTCTTCAAATTCGCTTAATCCTGCTTCACTCATTCACCCAATCCCTGTGTCACACGTTCAACCCTATTTGCGAGCGCCATTATTCTGCGGTTTTCTATCCGTAGGCGTGCAATAATTTCGTACAGTTTCTATTGGACACAAGCACGTTCCCTCAAACTTGGTTAATATTTCGGTAAACTTGATGTTTTTTATACGCTTCATTAGAAATTTCAATTTGATGAACCACAGGACAGATAAGCCCTATGATCACGAAGACCTATTGTTCGGTTACAACTATTGGGGCCGAAGCTTCGAGCTTCGAATTAGCGAATTCAACATAGCTCTAAGAAGATAAGTGGTATGAAGCAAAACGATCAGGGATAGATATCTCTCTGAGGCGTTGCATGGACTGTTCTGACAAATTTTGTACAACGCTGTGCTACCATGATGACGGAAACAACAAACAATTTTATCTATAAACAAGGGCAGTTGTTCTGGTGATCCGGTTGAATACCGTTCTACCACTCTACTTCGCATATTGTTTAAAGGAATGGAATCCATTCTAGGAGAATTTGTGCTGAATCCTTCCGAAAACATTCAGCGCAGATCATCTATGTCGAATCGAAAGCTACATCGAGTTCAACGTATCCAAATATTCGATCCAAAAAGCTGAATCAACATTTTCTACATGTTTCGAATGGACGAATCTTGGTATTATCGTTCGCGGTGACTTAAGATGTTCAGTTAATCTCTCCAGGGAATTGTCCGCGTACCCAAGATGTGTTGACCCAAGATTTACTTGGGAGGGTATTCCACCAGTTTCCACCTATGCTTTTCCTGTTTGCTATCGGCCTACTTTCGACCTTACATTGAGTACACTATTCAATACACTATTCACTATTGTTAGCTGACACGCAGCTGTAAGGTTTCTAAGTTTAAATAAAGAATAACTACCAATCTCGTCAAAGGCTTCAATTCCAAGATCTATGTGGGAAGACTGCAATCACTGTGATTGTACCCCACTCATTATCGAGAGACTTGATTTGTGGAGACTTGATTTTGGTGTATGAAATAGCACAGACACCCCTGTTGGTCACTGCCCTGGGAACCTGAAGAATTGAACTAGAGGATTCTTACTTAGTAAAAGACGTGAAGCTTTCTGCCACCAAAATCTTATGACTTTCCAAGGTTTGAACCTCGGAGAGAAAACTTGCGGCATGTTAATAACAGTAAATTATATCGCACAATCACCAAGTTCGTGAGCAAAGAATGATTCTAAAATATTCATTCGACCAGCGTAGTAAAACATGAACACAGAACAGATGTTTGATACACCACAGTTTCATTTTACCCATTAGTATTTGGCCAGGATCGAAAACGTTGTGAGTACAGTTAGAGGAGGGGACATACAGGTTGGATCCTCACTGATCAATCTGCCATCCTTCGAACAACCAAGAATTAAAAATACCCAAATGAACAATTACTGTACACAATGAAGTTGATCACTGACATAATGACTGACCACACCGACCTCGCACACAGGCAACTGAGACATACATGTGGTTTGAGTGCAGAAGATGTGCGTGCGTTTTCACTGTATTGAATCAGGTGTTTTTCACAAGATCTTTGTTTGCATAAGGAACTTTTCAAATCCCCGTTGACCCCCCAACCCCGCATTCATTCCCATCACAACCTGCTTCCACCACACACCGCCACGTACAGAAACAGCGTTCTCCCATATCCTGCTCACTTTTTTTACTGATTCTGGTACCAATTACTGCAGGTTTAGTAGAATATCTCCTGAGTTAATGTTTTTTAACTATTATTATCGTCTTATCTCTCACAATTTGCAGTCATTTTGATTACTCCCCCCATGTTCCTTTGCGTTGTTTTTATCTTTTTGTTTTCACCCTTCGGGTGTATAACTACTTTTTTGACTTGAAGACGACTTCTGGATATGAACGCATTATCCTCTAAAGTAGTATGAAATGGACCCAATAAACCTATATATTATAAGCCTGATGGAATTTGGAGAAGCTCAACTTTTCACCAAATACAAGGGTTTCTGAGTCCCAAATTCCCCTATAGTCACCCAAAGCAAGTGACATCCTAATCGATAGACGAGATTGCAGTAAAGTGTACAGAACCAGAAGTCGCTTTCTACTTGTCATCAGGTGTGAGTATATAGCTCCGGTTTTTCTCTTTCAACCCATCCATATGTGCTGGTATTTGGCCACAAGTGAGAACTTCAGGTTAGCCATTTCCAGAATAACTGCACACTAGGCATGTATTATATTTGCTGCCTGAATATTCATCAGACTGAGCATAAGCTATGAACGAACCATAAAGCTTGCTCGCTTTTTTTGCATAGCACGTAAAATGAGGCACACAGCGGACCGTATCGTGTATGGCCTTCCAGAAAAATCAATACATCGAAAACACCGAATGTTGAGGTAAGGATTTCCATGGAAATGAGTTAATACCGAAACCAGGATAACGCTTCGCTAAACACACGAGCATAAATCCTGAATTGTGGGGCTTAAATGCAGGCTTTCGGGGAAAGGGGATCACGAATGGAAACAGATCCAAAGTTCAGTTATATGTACAACGATAACTTTAGTGTGAATTTGAAATTTCGGGAAAATGAACAGTAATTCAGGTTTAATCAAAGCAAATTAAAACAACCTAAACGGAGAAACAGTCGGAATTCACAATTCGATGGGAAAGTTGAAAGATAGGAGAATTAAAAAGATGAAATGATACAAATAACTAAATATCATACCGGAAAGCTAAACACTTCCAGAAAAACTTTACATTACTCCTTACAGCTAGATAGTCTTTAAACACACCGAATTTACGTAATTGTACAATTTTGCCCCAACGTATTTATCTATTTTGTATTGTTGATTATTGGTCGTAATCCATAAAATTGGACAGAATAATTCTCTTTGCAGCCAGTATCTTTTATCAGGCCATGGGGTATCTGCATTTAAGACTCGCACTCATGAGTTATAAAATAAACTATATACTGCTACTGTTTTCTCATTCTCAAACACCATTATTAACATATTGTAAATTCGTGCACCAAAATCGTTGGTTGTAATTCTTTGCTATTTTTCGACCCTCACCTAATTCATTTTTTCCATCGTGGTTACGTTGGCATACCCCATCTCTCACCCCCTCTCCCATACACAACAATGACAGAACCCCAGCACAGAGAATTTAATTCATCTACTCCGAGAGAAAGAATGTGAGGTTCAAACGCTCAGCGAAGAATTGGAATACTTTACAGACCAGCGTAACGAATTACAGGATGCGTTGTCCGAGGCACAATTGATTATTGATCAACAACAGGATCAACTGTCCGAATTTCGTCGACGTGCTGCTCAAAGCCGCACGGATGCGGAAGCATTCAAGGTGAGCAGTTCTTTTCCACTTTTTCATTCATCCACCCTCCCCCCCCCGCGGTTTACCAGTGCTGTCCTTCCTCCGCTTCGGTTCCAGTAGTTTAAATGCTGTAACTGAGCTTGAGTTATAGTACCAAGATGTAATGCGTTTCAATGCAATCCACGGGTTTGATCAATCCTGCAGAATGCATATAACGTGGAATGATTGTAGCTCGGGATACGGATATTGAGGGACATATCAACACCAATAGTTCTTTAGAATGTAGTTCGATTTGTAAATAATGAACTGTCGATTGATTGAGATATTACCGAGCTGCTTCCGTTGGATTCAGTTTCAAGCGTATATGCATGATGGTTGATGCCTTAGGTTTATCTAGATGCTTCAGTTACTCAACTACTATAAGCCCATTATAATCGTGAATAAGACTATGCCGTTCATGACAGAACAAGTTCAGTTTCTACCTGCATCCACATCACTGAAAATTACCAATACTATCTCTTGAATACACTGCGGAATTTGTTGAAGGGACATCAGTAAATCTAAGTAGCTTACTCAACAGTTTCTCCGAATGGTCAGACACTTACGCTGTTCTCGCTCCGATAAAAAAACTTCCTAATTCATCAGTATTGACCAGTGGTTAACCTGAGGGATAGCTTACGGAATTCCGTTTATTTACATGAGATCGACGATCCAGGCTTCTCTGGCTGAGATTCGCTCTTTAGGGTTTAATTTGCTTTGATGCATTTCCTAATGTTCTTGGGACTATAACTGCAATCTGTCGGAAGTTGAGGAGTTCAAACACCACCTTGAAATATAGTAAAGCATATGCCGCTGTTGATGATGGGTACTGGAGTACACAACTACTGATGAAATGTGTAACGTTATTTTAGTCAATAACTGGACGTTTCTTCAGATAAGCCCAGAATAAGGTATCACAAAACTCTAGACGTATCAAGACTGGAACCAAAAAGAAATCTAGAATCAAATGTTTCCATGAAGAAAGTACGGAGAAGATATAGGTTAGATGATAGTGAACAGAGCACGCATTATTCCAGATTCACTGGGTATTCGTATGTCACTAGTAGCTATACCCAGTATAGATCGCTGGGATTTGTTGTTCACTGCCCAAGTCGTTGGAATACGAATTTTACCTAATAAAGACGATTCTTTTATAGACCTACTGCATGGCCAGTCCGAATGATTGTGAAAGTGTAAGTAATGTTACAGTGAAAAAACTACGTTTGTTTTCTTTTTTGATGCACTGATTGCCGTTTTTGCTGTCGTTTTTCTCTTATGCGAACCCGTTGCCACTGCACTTTTGAGTGACTGAACCGAAGTAGTCGTGTGATAGGTTAAATTAAACGTGCCAGAGATAAATTAACAAATTCTTTCTCCTGTCCCCTGCGTTATTCTAAAAATCCCCTCCTGTTTAATCCGCTCACGCGAACAGTCACTAAATGATCTGCTTTGCCCGGTCTTTTCACAGTGACGCTCCACGAGGAATTGGGTGATAGGAAACAGGAGGCAATCACAGATTTCATGCAATGTATGAGATACAGAGAGAGAGGGCGAGATTGCGCCTGCACAACACAACACCGCTGTTACTTTCTGACGCAATTCATGATATGGATTAGCACAGATGAGATGGTAGATAGATGCCAGATACTGATCACTCATTGGATGACCTTTCGCATATGTGCACGTCTAACTAAGCTTTTGCTCACATACTGTTTTCACTGGCTCGGCCGTGTGCATATTTAACTGAGTTTTCCAAAAGAAATATTAGGTGCATGTCTTGCATGCGTGAGTGCTCGCCTAAGTTGCTTGACGGGCAGTCACTGGCTACGTGCATTGAACTGTTTATTTTTGTGTGGCTCACATGCACACTGGTTACTTTGTTAGTCTGTGTCTACAGTTTGATGACTTGATGCACCGGCTTATTATTCTTTGCCACGGTTTTCGGTAAAAAAAGTGTTGGTAAGCTAACCAATTTGCTGTATCCCCACGAAGTTTAAATGCAACCCCGAAATTGGGGTGACACTCGTTTCAATCACCGTGATGGCTCAAAACAGATGGGTGTGGAGGATAACTTTCTCCATAGCGATGAGTTTATTCCTCGTACGAAATACCCTCTGATACATAGGTTTGATTTAGTATATGCTGTTGCAAAACCTGGATGACCGCAAATTTACCCTCAGGTAGGTGATACCACATCCGGGTAAGACCTTTACAACCCTCCAATTTGGTGTCAGGGGAAAAATAAGTTGAGATTTTTAACGTTTGCTGCTGGCTATCTGTCAAATATGCAATGAGCATGTCTGGTCAGTCCGACAATGGGCGTCGAGGTCAAATGTGAAATGTTAGGTGTACGATGCTGAGCAGGCTTCAGCTCATCAGGCACGGTGTTATTTTAGACATGTGTTGAACACAATAACATAATGATATTGGGGATGAGGGGTCATTTGGACTTGACTTGCATTATTCGATTCTTTTTTATTCTTCGAGTCAAATTGGACTACTATTGAGGTATTGATAAACCTATTTAATACCTGTGTTACGAGACCATACCGATTGTACCGGTGTTTTCAAATTTGAATTATACATCCAACTTACAGTTAGTATTTAACATTTAGGCTGACTTCCACGACTGCAACCAGGATCCATTGGTCAAACTTGTAAGCCACGATAAATTGTTCAAGTTATGCAGATTGCATTCTTGTTTAGAATTGTGGAGAGAACGGTACCTCACAGCTCACCTGGTGCAGCCTGAGCTGTACAAATGCGTAGGAGACGTCCATGGGGGATTCGAATCCCACCGAAGTAAGTGAACTTTTCACAAGTCCAAACAGGAATTCAGTCCATCAAACAATATAATAATTTGTTCTCATCATGCTTATCGCATCATAGATTCATTGCTTATTTAGTGTAACCCTGTCTTACTATCGAGTAACTGAAACCAGACCACACAAATGCCCCAGCTTTGATGAAGGACACGGTTCCCAGCTGCTGGAGTTGGAATAAATGGTATATTCAGTCCGGTTAATCTGATTCAAATCTACTCTGTTGTTTATTAATAATAACAGGAGATTACCCTTGAAATAGCTTAGTTTGACATCAATCCGTTCTAATTTTTTCACAAACAACAGGTAAATTTATAGTGTTGTTCATCAAGTGTGTAGTTCATTGGTAAGAAACCCATCCCACCTGAAGGTATTCTATACAAGTGCTGCCAGGGACACAGAAACAGTGTTCGCTGCTAATCAGTCCGTGGGTAAATTGTATCCGTTGACTTCAGTATATTATTAAGTCATTACCATGGGCGTGTTTTCATAATCGTCGATCTTCTACTATAGCTCGATGTAGTTCTATTTAGCCTAGAAATTAAATTAAATTCCCTTATAAAGTTGAATCAAATCCTCCACTACTCCTACGTAAATTTAAGTGTACTAGTTATCGGGTTTCCGACCAAATCGATCTTTAGCTCACGGAAATGAACGGGTTTCGCTGCTCACTGTCGTCAAGGGTGTAGCTCGTGGGAATCGGTCGATTCAACTGGTAAAGGGAGAAGATGACGTCACATTTGATTTCGCTCTGCATTAGATCGTTCACTTAGCGCTTAAACTCAGAGAACACAGGTCATTGAAACCACACGGTCAAGTTTGATCAAACGGAGAACTGTGATGCTTTTGGTTCAGCGAGTCGAATATTTTACTCTTGCGGAACAAGGGCGAACTGCAAACGAAACCTTAGCTGTCAAAAGCGGTTGCGGTGATTGAGACGTTTTCTTTAGGTGTTAAGAAAACCACCAGTTCAAATCCGTTTATCATAGACTTAGTAACCACAAATGATCCTTGTCGTGTGTAAGGCAGACGAGAAGAAAGGATAGGGCTCCTCAGCCTTCCGGCTCATGATCATCCATTGGACAGTGAATGTGTTTACCGATACGCTAATGTTAAGCAATATCATGACCCGGAAGATGACTAAAGGATTACGGGTTTTAGCTAAAGCATTGCCGGTTTTGGCCAAAGAAATGTACGTCAAGGCTAAAGAACTGTGGCTTTTGGCTAAAGCTTGATGGGAAAAGGTGTAGATCAGTTAGCATGGATCGAAAGGTAAACAAAAAGAACTAATAAGACAACATTTACTCGGAGAAGGATAAACTAGAATTTGCTCAGTTTACAACCCTACCCTATTCATCATACACGAGCTGACCACTTTGAGGGAAAACAGCTCATTTACTTTAATAGAAAGAAAGAAAAATCTAGTTTTCTATCGGTCTGATTCACCACTAGTGCCATTTCGAGTACCGATCGCAAGTTTACCATTGATCAAGTTAGCTTAGTTGAGCCTTTGAACTCACGGCACTGAAGAACAACACGAGCAACCCATATTGTTATTATAATTGCCATTGGTATTCCTACCGTGAACTTCACTGCAGCAAACTATAGTCATTTTGTAGATCCCGAATAAAGGCATCCAACGAGTGAATCAGCCAACTGGTGTTCAATAACATACACACACTTCGCGGATCGGCACTGAGTGTCACCAATTTGGACCGATGTGGCTGAAATTACTAAGAACCCAACGGCTTCTCCCGCAACGAATGGTATATGGTTTCATCTGCAACTAGGTACAGGTTATTATATGCAACACACAGTTACTCTATTGAATTCAGACAACCCACTAAAGCTCTGAACAATCTTATTGTGCTATAAATATGCATACACTTGTGCACCGGAAGCATATAGACATGGTTTTTAACGCATCCAACCTCTAGCATTCTGTTCTCCTAATCACTATTGCACTTAGTTAGCGTAAATTCTGTCTCTTTCTGGAGGAATCTCGGCCGGTAAATACACTGAGGCAAATCACCAATCTACGGCTGTTTATCCATATAACGATAGTTGTTCATGATCACAATGGGTCATTAATGCTCTCCAACAGGTAACTTTGTAGGTTCTGAACTTCAAAAGTAGTGTTTTCCGAATGGACATGGCACTCTCCAACTG